ACCTTGCGCTTGCCAGGCAGGCGCTTTTGCCGCTGAGCTAAATCCCCAGCCCCTTATGTTACTTTTTTGATGATTGTCAGAGGCAGGATAGTTACAGTTTGAAGCACAAAAGTACAGCTGATCAATCTAAATAGAAGACTGTCACTGAGTTGCTATCCTAGTCCCCATCATTTGTGACACCTCCATTTTGGGGTTAATCAGGACTGTGTATAACCAGGAAAAGAACAGTTATACATTCAGACCCAAAACAAAGGAATCTCCTTGATATTACATAGTAGGATATTCCAATATCTTTTGCTTATTCCAGTAAACGCTCTAATCCCTGGCTGCAGCCAGCAGGAGGTGGGGCGCTGCCAGGAGAGAGCCCTCAGACAACAGCTCCCCCGGAGTTTCAGTGATAATGAACAGCTGGCCGCAGCATATGTGCCATAGATCGCCAGGACTGGCCTAGGCCCTTGACCCCAGTTGAGGGTGACGCTGAGGGTCACCCCAGCTTCAGAGCACCTGAGGCCCGCAGGAGGAATGACTGGGTCCCAGCGTAACTCTCCTGCTGCCAAACTTTCCAGTAGCCTCCCTTCCACAGGTGTTGACCCTAAGCTCTCTGCCTAACAAATCCCCTGCGTGTTAATCCCCATGACGCAGTCTGCTTCCTGGGAGCCCAACCTACAAGCGTTACAAATTAAAGGTTTCTGAGCCACTGAATTTATGGAAAACTAAGAACCAGCTCAGGACTCTGGGACCAAGATGTGGTGCAAAGTACAAGACTGACCAAAAAGGACCTTAACTTCTCACGTCCTCAACAGTGAGCTGTCTGAGATGGCACCGACCCTTTCTCCCCATGGGAGGTATTGTATTGCATATATTTGGGGGCAGCCATCGTACCCCAAGGCCCTCAGATCTTCAGGGTTTAGCAGCATGTAACCCTAGACAAATCCTACAAACAGCTGAAATCTCAAACCAGGTGACTGAACACAAACATGCTCTGATTATGCCTTCTGACAAGGCTGCTTTCTCAAACTGGCCCTAGGAGAAGCAGGACAGCAGAGAGAGCACGTTCTCCACCCTGGAACAGAAGTTCTGCCTCTCCTGTGATCTCTCCCAAGCTCTGCGGTCACCCAGCCTGCTCAGGACTGGAGAAAGTAATGAAGGGAAGGAGGAGCAGGGCTTTCCTTCCTCACCCATTCTGGCTCTAGGCAAGTGTCCCCTTTTCTACTAAAGTCACTCAGAGATACTGTGAATTTCTCCTGAGCCTTTGTAGCTAGCAAAGGGAAACCATATGGGACTCACTCTGGACAACACTGGTGACTACAGAGGGATTAATTCTGCTTGGTTCCAACTTTGGTTTTTCATATCAGAGGGATTTGTAGCTACCTGGAAATGGACATGAGCCCTGTGATGAAGAAAGGTCCCTGGTAGAGAAGATGAAGGTGGGTCATGGAGTCAGAGAGAGGACAGCCTGGTGCAATCAGCTGCTAGTGGTTGGCCAGGGCTGACTACTCATTGTGGGACAAGATCAGAACTGTCTCAGTAGTCCCCAAAATGTCTTCCGTGTGACCAAGACAACATACTACAGGATCAAACTGGGGGCATCTATATCCATGAGGGAGGAGCTGCAGCACAGCCCAGTTTCTCTAGTAGGAAGATCTCAGCCTTTCTAAGAATTCCAGGTCCTGGGCAAAGAGGGCAGAAAGAGCTGCACTCTAACCCAGACAGCCTGGCTGCAGATTGTCCTAATGTTTCCGATAGTCAAGGGGTCTTACCATGCCTTAAAAAATGGCATATAAGTAGGAGGCCCAGCCCACTGCTCTGGGATGAAGGGTGGATACACATTTTCTCCTCAGACTCCTTCTCCTTAATTGGAGCTATAGAACATTGTGCAACTCATCTTAGACCCTGGAGCATGACAAGTGAAGGTCCATATGGGCCCCACCTTTTCCCACCAAAGGTCATCTGATATTTCTCATAAGAATACCTTAAATTTCTGTATAGATTTACTTTTTAAAACACATTCATGTGTATTAACTTAGTATACATATATCTCCCCAGTGAGGTTAGCTAGGAACTTATGTAACCCACACATTTTCAGAGAGAAATATTAAAATATAGGGTCATATAAAGTACATTTTTCTTTATGAATTATTAAACAATCTTATAAAGGCTTACAAGCTGAATCACAAAAAAAAAAATGGTGAGATATTTAAACATTGTATTGTCTCCCTAGTGTAAGAAACTGAAAGAGTAAAACAAAATCCAAAAGTACAATAGATATTGTGAGAGAGAAAGAAACTGCTCAAAGCGAAGACAACTGGTGTGAGGGAAAGGAGAAAAGAAAGAAAGAAAGAAAGAAAGAAAGAAAGAAAGAAAGAAAGAAAGAAAGAAAAAGAAAGAAGAAAGAAAAAATGTATACACAAGATAGCTAAGATAAGTGCACTACTAATTTCTACTGGTTTATTGAAAGGAACAGTTAATGCTTAAATTTTTGACCAATTTTTCATACTTCTATCTGGTAATCTGAATAACTACTTTGAAGATAGCAATATGCAATATAACAACCATTGTTGACTTTCTTTCATTTTGTTTGAAATTCTATATCATTTTTAATGTTTCTTAAATTTTTATTCTCTTTAAAATAAAAAAAATGATGACAGCACATGAGGCTTATGCAGAAGTTCCCAGAAATATAGTCAGATTAACTATGGGGAAGAAGTAAACCTTGAAGCTTTCTCTGAAACTCCCTTTGATACAACAAGCAGGGAAAGAGCTAAGATATGGAGAGGCTGCTAAGAGAGGAGGCTGGAGACAGGCCTTACACCTGAGAGAAAGTGACTGAGAGCCAAGAATGCGCAAGTCCGTCATCAGGATTTTAAACCACCATGGATTTCCCATGCAAAAGCAACCCTAACCCATGCACTGCATGATGTGACCACCCAGGACAATTTGGCATTCCCTCTCCTCTTCTGAAATGTCAGCCCTACTTTTTCTTCTGTGAGACATGGGAAATAATTTTATTACAATAAGATCCAGGTGATAGACACTGCTTTATCTGAGGCCGTCTGTGTGTTAGATATTTGCTGGCACAAACTATGAACAGGCCGTAATTTAGAAACAGTCTACCAATTACTTATGTTACCAGAGTGCAATGGGTGACTGAGCCCGCGCCCTCCGAAGGGCAGGAGGAATGACTGCTTGATCTGAGAATTACCCAGTGTCTATATTCTGCTTTATATATAGTTGTACAGCACTGCCTTTTATTGGGGTGGGGTCACTGCACCAAATCAGTCTTCCAACTGAACTGAGTAGGAATATGAGTTTTTATCTATGCTGATTCTGAATCTCCCCAAACTTTTCCCTTAATTGTGTACTGTGACAATATGTCACCCAGAAGCTAAGGAGCATTATCTCTCATAGAATCACTGATCCTTTAAAAGTACAAGGATCCCTAGAGACAGACCATTCTAACCTCCACACAGCACAAAAATCCCTTTTCCAAAGTACTGACAACTTGTTATACAAACAGGAGTAGAGTTTTATTTGCTTCCTTTGTGTGCACCAAAGTAATCCACCTCAGCACAAATATTGCAGCATCTGATGCTCAGGGAAATGACAATCTGCTGGGTGCATTTCTGGGGCACAAAAACGCTTCTGGAAACCCTGGAAAATCCCCATGCCACCGCTACGTAGAACATGTTCATAAAGCAGATGTTTCCTAGTTTTAATTTTTGTGAATTCTCAGATGGATTAAGCCAAACATCACCCAAGCTTTATTCATTACTGCTACTGTAGGTAATTTGTGCCTGTGGTAACAGTAATTTAGAGTTATTAATGAAAATGAAGGCTAATTAAAAACAACACAAACATCTAAACCAAGCCAAGGTAAAAATATGAAGCACTCACAGACTAATTTTAAGCAAGTTTTCTTTTTTCCGTTCTAAAGAATAAATACTACTTTGGTTGCAATAATAAGTAAGAAATAAGTACAGTCGTACCGTCTGGTGTTGTGCAGTCTTTGAACATACCTGCAACCCTTCGATGGCCAGTTTAAGGATTGAAGGTGTCAGTTTGGAAGCTTGTTTGAAGGAAAAATTACTCCAGTCTATAATTAAAATGAAGCCGTTTATCTGAAGCTCCGGATCTTCAATGAGGACTTCCAAGGACAGCAGGATGGCACGGAGGATGTCTGTGAAGGAGTTCCTATGGCCAAAGCAGAAAGGGGAGTCCTGTGTGAGTGCAAGCCTGTGACAGGTAGACATGATAGATTGCACGCTGAGGGTGGCAAAGCTGGTTTCCTCACACCACTCCTCCATGAGGCCAGCCTGCAGAGTCACGTTGGGTTTCCGTACCCAAAATGACTGAAAATACATTACAAAACTTCCCAGGGGTAATATTTTGAGACTCCCAGAACAGGTGCTTCCTTTTCATCTGACCCCAGCAGCGTCCCACATTTAATGAGGTGTCACTCTTCTGCAGTCCCATGGCTTTCTGTACTATGAGTCCATCATAGCATTGATTGCATTTTGCCAAAATATAGCCCATACTCTTGGCTTGCCCTCACAGAGCTGTAGCATCCTTGCAGGCAGGAACTGGGTCATATCCTTATACTGTCTGCGGTACCTAGGTGCTCAGTGAATCAATGCTGAACAAATGAGGTGAGACCTTAATCAGAGGCGCTTATTTTGATTAAACATCTTTTATGCATTTTTTGTGTTTAAAATCGTTATGAGGATAAAAACATCCATGCAACTGACGCTATTTTTTAGCTTTGATTCATGAATAGAAAAAAATAAAAAATAAAGCAGGAAGAATAGCTTATTTTCACTGTAGGTCTGTGGAGTGTGATTCAGGAGGGAAATCACTCTGAGTACATCAGTAACTATGACAACAGGCAGACCTGAATACAAACTAGGCTGACAGTTCTCCGTGTCATGTGTATTCCTCCACATCAGATATTCCCACTTACCAGTTCATTTTTGTTTGGAATAATTTCCAAACATGAAGAAATGAAGGCATATTGACTCGGCTGTTTCACCCAGCAAATTATCTCTGCTACAAATCTAAGATCTTTGAAAATCTCTAATTTTAGCTTCCTTTTTGGTGAGTAGGAAATATAAGCTTGGATGTGAAGTGATGGAAAAATCCTCTATATCTCCAGGTTTTCATTAAAATCAAGAGCCTAGTCTTATGAAATCAGGGTCGAATGATCCAATTCTCAACAAGTCAAATCTGGTTTTGCATTGTAACCAAGTTAGAAAATCTGCATTTGAACAATGATCTGGTAAGAATTTACTAAATGCTTATTATAAGATCAGGATTGCATGCCTGTCTTACTTATACTTTCAAAGAGCTTTAATCTAGTTGGGAAGGGGTGGAGATTCATAATGTGAATTGAGAAGAGTTGATAAAATTTGAGCAATGAGGGAAGAATGCTTGATATCCGTTGCAAAGAGTGGATAGGATTCTAACTGCTAATTGGGAAAATGGGGACTAAGATCTTCTGGGAGAGAAAAGTGACATTTAATATTAAAAAGAGGTATACAAATCTTTTTGTTTCTGCTCAGTTTCTCTTACTAATTTCCCCCTTCTATCAAACTACAATTTCCTTCCCCAAAATCCACTGGAATTAGTTCTGTCATGTAGTAAAAGCCTCAGATCTTCCCACATCGTATACTTTCAAATATATAAATATGGTCATCATGATACTGTACCTAATCTTCAGATTTGAAAAGAATAAATTTCTTGAAGAAATCGCTTTTAACAGTGCTCCTTATAATTACTGTTTTCCTTCAGAGGTATTCTTTTTTTTAATTTCTAGAGATATCATGTGGCAAGTTTTCATGGGAGGTTTGCTTTTACATTTAGATTTGCATCATTCATCAAAAACCCCAAGTCTTCTCCAGAGATACACCATTTAATAGGAACAAACATTGATTTAAACAGAATATGTGACCACACGTTATGAGTGTGGGCAATTTCAATGAAAATCCCCCATAGGAAGCTGGAGTTGCCTATTTGGGCACCAAGGAATTTGAGGCTGGAGAAGTTTTTTGGGAAGATCACACTTGCAGAGACAATCAAGACTGAAAGACTGAACCTTAGGTGAAGCCTGCATACAGTGGTTGAAATGGTCGGAAGAAGAATTAAAGAAAAATTTAAAATGAAAGGTTCAAGACACTGTTGTGTTTTTAAAGAAGAGAGGACATTTCAGCAAGCAAGAGTATGATACATTTCACTACTACACTACTAGTCCCGATACTTCCTTAACACCTGCAGCCACACATTAGCCATGGCCTCACTGAAGACACAGTCCCTTGTCTATGGAACTTGCTTTGATTATTGGCAGTGACCCCCAGCCAACTAGCCAGTTCCCATAAAAAACAGAACCACCTAGCTGAACCCAACCTGGATAAACTCCATCTGCTCCACAGATGTACGAACAATAATAAATGATTGTTTTTCAAACCACTGTGCTTTTGGATAATCTGTTACACAGCAATAGCTGTGCAGCACTACAGGGTATTTAACATCAAATGCAGAAGAAAGATCAAGGAGAATATGGAAGGCGACTATTGCACTGACAAGAAGTTCTTTGAAGAGGCTTGAGAACACTTTTACCTGAACAGTGAAGACAGAGCTAATGAATTATGAACACCTCTAGCAAATCACTCTACCTCATTTTTCTCCTCCAAATAGAGATAACATCACTCTCATCATTTGCCCCCCTAGCATCCATTTCCAAAAATACATTGAATTCTGTCTGGAATCCTGGAAAGGATTCTGTTCCTTTTGGAGACCAAAAGACAGAATAGACCCTGGCAGTAAAGAAAGTGTGTTATATTCATGAGATGATCCCCGGAATAAAGTGAAAGGATTACGGACTCATTATAGTTTCCAAATGTTTAAATGCTTCACTTTTCCAGAGGAACAGGGTGGGCAGGAAAAAAGTGAATGTAATGTGTCTCCGTGACGTGAGGCTCTCCTTACGCTGAGAAACGAGCCCCTACTCTCACCTTAGCTACCCTTATTACATTCATTATCTTAGTCCTCAGCTTCCTCTGAAGAACTTTCTTATCACTTCCCACTTTCTTATTCACAACATGTTTTACTTGTGCAATGCTTCCAGCTTTTTAAATTTTAAAATACCCATTAGACAAAATAATTTACAAAGGTAAGCCACCCTCAATGACATTAAAAAAACCTCCCCACTCCTTGAGTGTGGCCTGAGGCTAGTGACTTCTGTAGACAGAAAGAGGAGAAAAGGCTAATGGATAAAAAAGATATGATATTTTATACAATGGAGTGTTGCTCAGCCATAAAGAAGGGTAAACTTCAGACTTTTATAGGTAAATGGATACAATTTGACACCATATTCGTAAGTGAAATAAATCAGATTCACGTGTATAAATATCATATTGTCTCCCTGGTATGCGAAATTGAAAGAGTAAAAAGGTCTAAAATGTACGATAGATATATTTTTTTTTTTTTTTTGGTTTTTCTCCGGTACCGGGAACCGAACTCAAGACGTTGCGCTTGCAAGGCAGGCACTTTGCCGCTGAGCTAAATCCCCAGCCCTGTACGATAGATATTGTGAAATGGGAAGAAATTGTTTCAAAGGAAAAAGGATCTAGATTGAGGGGAAGGGGAAAGGAAGGAAGGGAAAAGTGAGGAAAAATGGAAGTTAGCTATACTATCAGTGTCTCAGTTTATTGAAAAGGAAAGGTTGTGCTAATATCGATTGGAGAATTTTTATGCCCATATCTTGTACTCTGAGTAACTACTTTGAAGATGACAATATGCAATGTATTAACTATTGTTATTCTTCTATTATTTTGTTATGAAATTCTATTTTACCTTTTTCTCCACAAAATAAAATCTTAAAAAATAAAAGAAACATATAGAACACTATCCCTCCCCCAAAAAGGAAAAAAAAAGTAACCATATGGTAGAGAAACCTGACCACATCTACTTGAGCTAGGTCACCAAAGTCAGCCTCACCAGGGAGGCTGCTGACAGTTGACACTATTTACTGTTGCTATGGCAATGAAAATGGCATTCTACTTCTGGAATTTTCTTCCCCCAAAATTCTGATGCCAGATTAATCATGAGAAATACATTTAACAAATTCCAGTTGAAGGATATTCTACAAAATACTTGACCAGGGGCTGGGGGTTTAGTTCAGTGGCACAGCACCTGCCTGGCAAGCACAAGGTCATGAGTTCAATTTCCAGTACCGGAAAAAACAAAAACAAACAAACAAAAAAACCAAAATACTTGACCATTAGTCATCAAAATTATCAAGTTTATAAAAGAACAGGGAAGTCTGAGAAATTGTCAAGGCTAACAGGAGCCTGAAGAAAGATGAAGACTAAATGTCACCTGGTCTCTACAATGGGATCCTGAGACAGCAAAGGAGAGTAGGTATGTCCATAGGTAGTTTTATACTAGTGTTGCTTCATTAGTTGTAATAAATAAGCTATATGAATGTAAGGTGCTAATAATAGGAAAAACTAGATGCAGCATACGGAGTCAATCCCTGTGCCATCTTCATAGTAATTCTGCAAACCTAAAATTACTCTAAATAAAAAGTAAATTTTTAAAATAGAAACACCATCTGAGCCACTGATTTGAAGGTAACAATATGCAATGCAATTTCCATGGTGAATTCCCACCATCTTGTCTAGTGAAACTATTATCTCTAATGTTTTATCTAATAATTATTTTCTTATTCTCTTTAATGGTTTGAACAATCTTCCATTCTTACATCTGGTAATCTGAGCAACCTAGTTGAGGATAGCGATATGTTATATAACAACCACTGTTAATTTGTACTATTTTGTCTTGAAACCCTGTATCACTTTTAATGTTCTTGCTTTGTCTTGTTTATGTTTGTGATGCTGGTATGCTGCTATTGTTCTTTTTGTTGTTGTTGTTGTTTCTCATTTACTACTATCTTTAAAGTAAAATTAAAAAAATAAAATAGAAAGGCCCACTAGAGCCTATACTCTGCCATTATAAGTCTCTACACTCTAGTCTGCTAAGCAAACCAAAGTGATCAAAAACAATTCCATTATTCCATGAAAATTGTAAAATGATTACAACATTTTATGTTCTGATCGATCGTGCATGTTTGTCTCTCATGGTGGTCTGAGCAACTGATTTGAAGGTAACAATATGCAATGGAATTACAATGGTGACCT